TCGTCTCGATTCTGTGCTTGACTCTCTGTTCTCTGCCGAGGGAACGAGAAAGATCGATCTCCGTTTGGAGCATTTAACGTTTTTTTTTTTGTGATTTAAATGTAATAATAGGAGAGTAATATTTTTTAGAGGACTGAATATCCATGATGTCTACCCTCTTTTTCTTTCGTCTCTTTTATCCATCTCTCTCTCTCTCTCTCTCTCTCTCTCTCTCTCTCTCTCTCTTTCTCTCCTCGTTTATTTACCGCGAAATTATTCACGCGTTTTCACTTTTACCGCGTCGCCGCTGCCGCTCGACTCGTGTCGATCGACGATTATTTCACACTCGGAATTAAATCGGATTCTTTTAGCAAGGCTGCGTATACGAGGGCGCATAGCGAGGGGGAGGACAGATAGGGGTGGGAGGGAGGGAGGGAGGGGACCGATCGACCGAGATATACGTATGTATCGAATTACGAGCGGATTATCGTCGGCCGAGGATCAACGCGTTGCCGGGGCTGCACGATAATTATTTCTGCGTTAGCCATAATTATTGCCGGGATGGCAATTAATTCCTGCCGGAGCGGCAATTAATTTATTGCGGCTTGATTAATTACCGCATGGTAGGCGGGCGAGACAGTTCGCTGTTGCGGCTGATTGCCCTTTCGCCGTGCAATAAGGTCCAACCGGGGCGACCGCCTCTTTTTTCCGGAAAGAATCGCGGGAATCCGGCAGGACTCTCGCCGGCCGGTGCCGATCGCGCCTGAAAAATTCAGGACTCGTGCGAAAATATAGCGCCGTGGCGAATGCGCGTCTTCGGCGCGGTGATCGGTCGGCCGATAAAATGTGGCGCGCGAGTCCTCGCGCGATTTTGCACACAACAAGTGCCTGAAATTCGATAACGGGCACATTCATCATCCGTCGCATCGCATCTGCCGCGAATAATTAAAGCGGAAGCTCTTCGTGTACCCTCTTGTCTCCCTTCGTTTCGCCGAATCGAGAACCGGTCGTTCGTCGATTGTTGCGGTTTCTTTTCTCTCTCTCTCTCTCTCTCTCTCTCTCTCTCTCTCTCTCTCTCTCTATCTCTCTATCTCTCTCTCTCTATCTCTCTATCTCTCCCTCGCGTTATCGCATGGATCGTACGATAAATGACGGTCGCGTCTCGTTCCACGTATGAGATATATCTGCGTGGAATTTTCACTTTTCACTTCTCGTGGGCTCTCTTCATCTCCGGCGATTGACCGACATTCGACCGACGTCGGTCGAATCTGTCTCGCGAGACAGATGCGCTATTTGGGAGACACGATTCGTCTCGTTTCGTGAATGCTTTGTGCCACCGACAATTTTTCCAGATCGGCCAGGTAGAGGGATTCTCTCGTTTCTGTCGCGCCGGCTTCTAGACTTCCCTTGTCGGCGAGCGCGCGTGTATCATGGGGATAACGTGAAAGGTTGATAAATTCGTGCATTCGATCCGAAAAGGGAGGAATCTTCCTGAGTAGGTCGTCGCGGTACTGTTTCCGGGTAATTTAATTATTATGGGTTTTTTATCAAAGTTATGATTCACTGAATCTTGCCTATGTTTCATACAATTAAAGAAATTGGTCTCCTTATAATTTAATCGGTAAAGATAAAGATTCTCTTGTCATAAAAGGCGAACGGATCGGTGTTGAGATACTCGTTGATAAATTATCAGAAAGTTTAAAATCTCCTCTGTCCTCAGATGCATCTGTCACATTTTCCATATAAATAATTCTTCTGATATAAGATCTCATGCGAAAGATGAGATTGAAATTTGAGGAATCGCGTCGTCTTGCACTTAACTTGATGTATCAAAGTATAAAGTTGCAGGAGTATTATAATTATAATATGGCTGCAAAGTAGAGACATTGATCTATAAAGTGCTTTTCGTACAATCTCTTTATCATTATTTTTTTTTTTTTTATCAAAGTTACAGCTCATTGAAGTTAGACTGCCAGGTGTTACGCTAGGCTGACTTGTCGTTAAGTTGTATCACGATCGAGGTCGTCAATAAAGGCAGGTGGCGGCTCGTAGCGGAGAGTTGGGAACTAAGGAAAGTCTCTTAGCCGAAACTCGAACCTTTCTTGTACCGACCTCCCAGACTATTTAGCCAAGTCTCAAACCCTACTTTCGGCGATATGTTAGACATCGAGACGCCGTTAGATGGCGACACGAACAAGTTGCCGATTAGAAACTTTCAGTTGGTATAGCGCGCGAGTCGCACCGAGATATCTCATAGTTTTATTACAAAGTATTCGCTGCAGTTTGCTGCTTTTTACGATGAAAAATCCAGCATGGTAGCACAACTCAACGACAGGTTAGACTTACTTACTTTTTATCACCAAGTGGTATGATTTAAGGACTACAAATGTAGCGCGAGATTTAAGGTCTCTGCTACTCGCCGCGGCCATCTCCATTTGTGATATCAGAAAATGTTAAACGCTCAATATTTATGCAAAATACGTTAAATAAAAGGAATATATAAGACACTTGCACAACTCAAAAGTCTCATGATATTTTTATCTAGAGATTCTCTTATTTCCAAGTTTTACTCAACTCAAACTTCAACGAACGTTAACTTTGACAAAATAACAACGGGACGATTTGGAAAGCATTTTGCATGCTTGAGATCTTCATTTTCCAATCTTCATTTTCTAAATTTATACTTCTTTTGCTAAGATACATTAAGTTAAATGAAAAATGACGATCGTTCAATATGGATTTAGAGATTGATTTTTTATTCTTTGATAACATGACCAGACAGCGTATTGATTAATCTTTTTCATAAAATAAGAGTCTCTGTGTTTAATGAGAGTCCTTCCGACTCAGCGATGAGCCACGTTACTGGAAAATAAAAATCTTAAACAGGACAGGCCTTTAGAGGTTAGGCAACGACATCACAGAGCGCACAATCTTCTTCTATTATTTATTGGAAACCTTGATACACTCGAGCTTAGTCATAAATATGCGTCATGTTACAACACTATATTTACACATAATTAATCGGGCAATATGAATCCTGACACTTGGCTTGTCGCACTCGAGAAGGACGGAAGGAAAAGGCACGGGGCTTCTGGGTCGATGTGGAGCGATGTTGAAAACAGAGTTGCTTCGATATTAAATTGTATATATACGTGTGCGCGAGTGTAAGTGTGTCTGTGCGGTTTGTGTGGGGTGGTGCAGGGGAACAACCAGGAGGGGAAATTAATATTTCACAATGGTGGCGACAGATCGCGCGCGAGGTCGGCGAGATCCTGAATAAATATTACGACGAGTACAAACTGAGCTACGACTCTTTGGCTCGCCCCACTCATATACACGGGGTGGTCTCGTAAAATATTATTTAATCCTCACTGGCTGTACGCGCCCGCCCGATGCGGTTTCGTGTGATTTTCTTTCTGTTTCTTTTCTTCTTTTCTTCTCTCCTCGGATTGGGGCTCGTTTCCTTCGACGCTGCATATATCGTATATATATACATATATATATATATATATATGTATAAGTATAAACCTACGTATATCCGTGTGTTATATAGTGATAATCGGTTAAACCTTAACACATCATTCGCGCAAACATTCAGGAACGACGACGTGGGGCCGCTGATTAATCGGGCGATGCAATTTTGAGGACCGCTGAATAAATGTTTGACCGCATTCTTGAAGGAAATCGCGCGTCGTCTCGTGTGATGATTCTACGCAGATTCTTGCGAGCGCCGTTCTTCGAGAGAAATATCTTCCCGCGGATCTCCGGGAAATTCTTGTCGTTGCGTACTTTGCGCCGCAGACTTTAATCCTTTAAGAGCTTCCGTCGCACCGCGCTGATTAAAAAAGAGTAAGAAAAGCCATTTTTATCCGCATACTGATGACGTCTCGAGTAATGTCGCACGTTTGGCCGAACCGTTGGCGAGATACGCACTTTTATTTGCACGTTCCTGAACGTGGCGAGTAATGTCGCAGAGAGAAAGATACAAATATGAGTACTGAATCTCCGACGTTACGCACTAACGTCGTCACGCTCGTCTTGATCTCCGGGTGTGCCGCTTGCGAGACCGAAATCAGCCTTATTATCAGAGGGAAGAAGGAGAAAGAAGCGCACACCGCGCGTCGGCCGCGGTCAGAAGAGCCGCGAAATACTCTTCGGTCTGATTACTTCCAATGAAAGCTCCAGCTGGCGAGAAGGGCGTAGCGAGCTTTTCTACCGCCGACTGCATACACGGTACATCCGAACGACGCGGCTCTAGCTGGCTCATTTCGCTGGTCGCGCAATCGGCAGCGAGATCGTGGCAATATCGGCGACTTCTACCTCTACCTATCGATGAGCGATAATTCGCTACGAAAGAGACGCACGTCGCACTCGTCGCGCGATCGAGCGATATGCGCACGTCGTTGTTGACGAGCGGGCGTGTCGATCGACGTCCCGGCGAGTAAGAGAAGCGAGAAGGGGTTTATAGCAGAGCGAATATTATTTATAATATAAAAAAGCATTTCTCTCTCTCTCTCTCTCTTTCTCTCTCTCTCTCTCTCTCTCTCTCTCTCTCTCTCTCTCTCTCTCTCTCTCGCGCGCGCGCGCGTGAGCCTGAATTATCAACGACGGTCGAGAGGTGTGAGGCGCTTTGCACATCCCGGCAATCCCTTGGTGGAAGACCTTCTCCCGAAAGCCCCCGAATTTCGCGATATTCCTCGTCCTCGAAGAAAGTACAGTTTCGTCGGCGTCGTTGTCGTCGCATCGCGTATTTTATCAGCCGAAACCAGCTTAACAGCAGTCGGGAGAATCGTTCTCCCGTCGAGCGTCCGTTGTCTCGACCGCGTCTTATCCGCGGAGTTGGTGTCCGTGAGGAAGAGAAAGGGTCGCGAAGACGCATCGGATAACGCGGAGGGAAAGCAGAGAGATAGAGAGATAGAGAGAGAGAGAGAGAGAGATAGAGAGATGTAGAAAGAAAGAGAGAGAGAGAGAGAGGGAGAGAGAGAGAGAGAGAGAGAGAGAGAGAGAGGGAGGGAGGGAGGGAGGGAGAATTTTTGCGCGCGCGCCGCGGCTTAATTAATCCGTCCCTTGTGCGTCATGTAACTGATGCTGTCCGACAGTAACTTTTCGCGCGCCTGCCGCCGCATTCGCGAGCACATGGCCAATATCGTGCCGGCCATGATGCAGAAGAAGCCGCAGCCGAGGCCCACTATCGTGCTGGCGACGGACGATCTCAGGCACACTCGGTCGGTCGTCGGCTCGCTGAGTCCTGCGGAGGAGGAAAAGTAAAATTATCGATCTGCCTGGACAAGTGGAACTCGTAATAATAATAATAATAATAACAACAACAACAATAATAATAATAATAGTAATAATAATAACAACAACAACAACAACAATAATAATAATAATAATAATGTCGTCTCGCCACAAGTAGCAGAACTAAAAATCGATCTCTCGTTGCTCGTCGAAGCGATTCGGTCTTTCCGACGAGGACAATTTCTTTTAGTGTATCTTTCATCTCGTTTCCCGACTATTGACATACAATTTTGCTACAGGATATTATCGGGTGTCAGTGAAGCTTTTTCTAAATATATGTGGGATGTCTGACGATAACGCGCATAAAGTTCTGTATTGGATGAAACTGAACAGAGGGAACTCCTCTGCCGTTTTGCATAATGGAAAAACATGGGAAAATTCTGAATCATTGATGAAGAAAAGGTTGTCACATAATCGAGCGGAATTATTCACAAATATTCTTCAATTAACAACTCAAAATTTACGCTTTTTTCTTCTTTACGCTGACTTAATCCCGCTTTAATGAATAATTTCAAATGTCACGTGGTTCGCGAGAAACGGAGGACTTTTGTTCAGTTTCGTCTAATCTACACGAGAGAGTTTCACGCAGTTATCGTCAGACATATCTTGTATATATTTCTTTTTCAATTCCGCGCGAGCCAAAATCACGGGCAATTCCGTAATCGCGAGCTTGCGATTTATTTACTTCGGATTGGCGCTCATGTCGTTAGAGTCGCGACGCTCGTGATCGGCCGAAGAAAGTGGAGCGCGCTCCTCGTTGAATGAAGCTGCGATAAATGCACGGTTTGACATAATTGTTCTAACAGTAAAGCCCAGAATCTTTGACATAAATATCCGCTCTTACCGGCGCGCGAGGCGCTGGTGGAATTCTGGAACAGTTCCGTGTCCGCCTCGCCTTCCTGAAGAACGCGCAGAGACTGGAAGAGATTCACGTTCTCCGACAAACTGGTTGCCGGCGTCGACGGTCCGCCGATCATTTCCGGCACCGATCGCTTCGCCACGTTCTTCGCGTTTCTCCAGTGGCAGGGTTGGCTCTGAAACACAGCGGCGATGCGCGTTCGTATGACCGAGTGTTATCGGCGAAACTGGAACGTCGTGTTCCAGCGCTCGCGCCGAGCAGACACGCGCGCTAAAACGCAAAACTATCAGCCTAAAAATCGGATTTACCGCTACTTCTCTCGATTGTAGAGCCGCTTTTCTTTCAGAAACCGACCGACTTCACCGACGCGAAAATCGGACAGATACATTCGCGATGCTGAGATGCGCGAGGCAACTTATTGCCGACTTGTTGCTTTGTAACGACAGATCCTCCGACCAATCTGGAATTCATTTGCAATCATCCAAAATTTTCCAACGCTCGGGAAAGATGGACTATCCTGCGAACTAGACTTTACGGGGTCAAACGGACATCAAAACTGTTTTTCAGCTTCACAGAGTTTTCTCTGGTAAAATTTTGACTCGCGATTTAGTTCTTGAGGGAACCGGATATTAAGCATTGGACATCAATAAGAAACGATATGTCACTTCCTCCGACGTTTGTGCTGAGTCCTCGAATTAGTGAGAAAATCCGCCGTTACAAAGTAACGCGTACAATGGCTGCGTGTATTCGATTAAGGGGACCGGAGGGTCAGATTACTGAAAAATTGTGCTTATTTTTGACAATGATTTTGTTGAGACGAACTGAATAAATGTGCAAGAATGAAACTTTTACATATATTTATATAACATATGAAGAGTAGAAAAATTTTGTTTTTAAACAAATACTCATATAAATATACGTCCACTTAAATTTTAAACGCGTTTTTCTCGAAATTTCGTTGTTCAACTTTTTGCAATGATTTCTCCGAAACTGAGCTTCGTGTCGATTTGAAATTTTAAAGCAATAATATTTGTTCATTTGGCTCTCGGGTGAACCATGGATAACTCGGTCAAAATATTTCATTTATTTTTGTTATAAAAGAACTGAAAATTGAATTTTTTCTTAATAACAGCTGCCATTTTGTTAATTTCGTTCGATTTTTTTTTCTAGTGGTTCACCAGATAATAATAAGCCTCCTTAAGATTTCTAGTTAAAATTCGCTGTGATCGGACCACCAAGAGCCGAGATATTACTGCAAAAACGATAACTTGAAAAGAAAAGGAGAGTATATTTCAGTTATATATATCGTATGGTTATACGGATATTTGTTAATAAACAAAATTTTTCTACTTTTCATACGTTGTATAACTGTACCTAAAATTTTCATTCTTGCACATTTATTCAGTTCGTCACAAAATATTATCAAAAACAAGCACGATTTTTCAGCGACCTGACCTTCCAGTCTCCTTAAGCTCAATCAGCGCGGCAGCCGAATGAACGGAACGGGGGCGAAAATCGATGGAGCAAGTCGCGCCAAGGCGCTCGGTATTTCATTACCGGACATCTCCCGTGGCACATGCGAACGTCGCACTCGATGTACAGGGCCGGCGAGCCCGTGAACCTGAAGGTCTTCATATAAGCGAACACCTGCGTCTCGAAGAGGCCGCTCTCCGACCAGGAGCCGCGAAACCTGCTGATCAGTTTGTCGTCGACCGGACAGCCGTATTGATCGATCAGCTGGATCCTCTTGTTGCCGCCGTTGTGCGCGTAGCAGTCGTTCACGACGATGTCGAAGCCGTCTGCAACGTGGAAGCAGAAGAGAGGCGGAAATCAGGCTGTCGACGGTAACGCGCTGCCGTTTTCGCAGGCGAGATTGATCGCGTTGACGAAACGTTTATTAATAATGATTAATCAAGCGTCATGACGGACGAGCAAACGGCGAGAAGCGTTTAACTCTTTCTCTCTCTCTCTCTCTCTCTCTCTCTGTCTGCACGACGTCAATTTGCGCGACATAATCGACGTGGACGCAAATACAGAAGGTTGTCGGACGCTCATTAGAGCTCGGACATCTGTCGTTGGCTGTCGGAGCTCTCGCGTGTGTTTTCGTATCTTCCTCCCACCCTCTGTCTGCGTATCTTTCTCTGTCCAACGTTTCCGCATCTTTCGCAAATTACCCAGCTCGGCTTGTAGCTGACTGACTGACAAAGTCTTATGCCTCATCTTATACCGTTACGATGTCGAATGATACGTTGGCGGAATCGGGCGTCGTATGATTAGATAGACCGGGCGGCCGAGACGTCGAGGAAGAAGGGAGACACGCGAAACGAAGGATGCGTGTTGCGCGTCGATCGCTGCGTCGATATTACGGATTATTTGTTTTCGATGCTCACGCTTGTGATGCGAGCGCGAGACGGGTCGTTACGATAATGAAGTCGTAAGGTGCGGCAATAAAAACGTGACGGCGCGACCGCCAGGAAGCTGGACGATCGTTCGCCTCGCGAGCGCGACTCTCCGAACTGAACTTCGTAGGCAAAAATATAAAAAAAGAATGGGGGACAGGAAAATGTATTGTTGGTGGCTCAAGTTGAGACTCATTTTGCAAAAAGTGGTCAAATGAGCAGTTTTTGAACGACGCGTTGGTGATGAAAAGCGGTCGTTTCATTCCTTGCAATTATACAAATTATATATATATATATATATATATCTAGGTGATTAATAACAATATCTATATTACTAAAAGTCTCTAAAGACGAGACGAGCTTCTCTCTCGGTGAGAAAAGAGAAAGGGTTCTGCGGAAAATTAGTTTAATCGTTAATCGCAAGCAACTGGTCAATGAGAGAGCCGTGTCGTAGCGTCGTTCGGTGCGATGTTTCGGCAACTGCGAGTCGTTTGCACCTGATAAACACAAAGATACAAAGAGAAAAATGACGCGCTTAGTCGATTAACGTCGGCATCAATTAAGCCGCACGGGAGCGCGTTTCAGTGAATCAACGAGTGGACCGGTTTGCGCAGTCGCGGCGGTGTTTGACATCCCGCGCGCGTTTCGCGAGGGAACCGCGTCTGCCTCCTTTTAGAAAACTGGTTCGCGCATCAGCACCTACTTATGTTAATATTAGATCGCGAGGCGCCCGTCGACGTTCTCCTCGCTCCTTGGGCGATTCACGCGAAGCCCAGCCGCGGTCACGCTTCGCGTTAGCGTGGAAGCTTACCGTATTTGCTGCGCATGTAGATAATGAGAGTCAGAGGATCGCCGACGCGAACTGGTCCGGCCACTCTAGTTCCAGTGGTCCCGTAACCGTATCTGATTTCCATGTAGCACTCCGGAGGCTGTAGGGTGAAGACTACGGGATTTCCCGTGGCGACCCTGGAAGAAGAAGGTGGGTGCGTAAGAGGCAGGAAGAATGCGTATCCGTTATCTCTCTCTCTCTCTCTCTCGCGCGCTCGGCCTACTTCGCGCCCGTCCGAGCGCGCGCAGATGTTAGACATTATCGTGGATATTACATAAACGGCGGCCTAGCGCGAAACGTTCCATCGATTTCGCGTAATCGGAGGTATTACACGATCATAATGTCATTCTTCGTGCTCTCACGACTGGAAGCGATTACGAGCGCGGCACAAGCGACGGCTCCGAGGCTGGCGTGGCTGGTCTGTGCCGCGATCTGACCTTCCGTACGATTCCTCCCTTCCTGTCCATCCCCCACCCCACCCCATCCCACTCCACCCCCGCCACCGCCCTCAGCACAGCCGATCGATCGATAATTTATTTCGTACTCGTTGATTTATCTTCCCGCCGAGTACATCACGTCGTCGGACCTGGCGTGTTCTGTTGGCTGGAATATAATCCTCGTGCAGATATCCGCACACGTCCGGTAATATTAATATTATTTACGCTCTTAATACCCCCGGCATATCCCCGGTGTTGATTAGATCGGAGGATCGATTCGCTTTACTCGGCAAATTGAAGAATCAGGTTACTTTATTCTATTTTTCTTTCTTTTTTTTCCTTTCAGAAAATTGTCGTGTTGGGAAAATTACGAAGGGGAATCTGTTTTATTTTATCGCAGGAGACCCTAACGGAAATTTATTACTAGCTGGTTTATTTTATTACCATATTTTATTACCACGAGTAATAAACTTATTACTTATTATCACTGGTCAATTTATTACAGCCAGTAATAAATTTCGATAAGGGGAGTACCAGAATTTCCTTTCTGTTTCCTCGGGAGATGAGCGAGAAAGAGTCGCGAACTAAAGTCCTTGATAAATACCCAGGGCAGTCTGAAAAGTTCTCGGCCTAACAATGAAAGAAAATTTCTTTTGCCGTGAAATATGTTTTATTTTTCAATATAATCTGCTGAAACTTCAATATATTTATTCCAACGTCTTTCCCCAATAATTCCCCAATAATTCCCCAATAATTCAATACCACCATTAAAGTGTGATTCTTTTCGCTCTGGTGTATAGCAGTGGGATTCAGGTTTCATCAACAGTTACGAAACGACGCTTGAAATCCATTTTATTTTGCTTAAAACGACTAAAATGTGCCAAACACGCATTCGAATGCGTTTTCGCGCTCAATTGTTGGCAAATGCGGCACTCCCATCTTGCACGAAGCTTTTTCAACTGGCGCTACTACTCGAATGACTCGGCAGATCGAATAAAATTTTACATGGGTTTGTATCAGGGATCAGCCACTTTCCAATACAATTATAGTTTGACAGTTTCTAACGCCATGTATGGCGTCAGGTCGAGAACTTTTCAGACTGCCTACGTAATCAGACACGTTCAAAGGAGAACTCGAGTCGACCAAAGTCGGATTCTAATGATACGCCGAGGGCAAACGGTACTCGTTAAATCCGACCGCGACGGCGGGGCTGACAGCGATGACGCAATCGAAGCCACAAAGACACTCACTCGACGTCAAGAAAGGGAAACGTCACCGTCTTCCAAAAGTCGTAGCCGTACTCGCACGTCACCTTGAAGTGCTCGTCGAACTCCTCCTCGATCAGCGGATTGTACTGCACCGTGACCGTGTTCCACATGAGGTTCTTCTGCAAAACGCCCATACGAACGTACATTGCACAATGTAGGCACGCGCTCGTTGTTTCTCACATGAGGAAAAGCCGCCGCGCCGCTATTACAATAGCGGGCTTTCGTATATTCCCGCGCTGAATTCCCCCGTGTCCGCCTACGCAACGTGTGCGGGACACGTCTAATTTTCTCTCATTGTCGAGGTCATGAGCAATCCACCCTTGCCCCCCTCCCGCCCCTGACCCTGCACACCCGTCAGTCTTGTTCTCGAAAAGCCGGAATCCTCGTCCGGGTTGTTAATCATTATAATTCGTCGTCGTCGGTGTCACGCGACTTGTGGTTCACGATTTTACGCTTTGCGTTTTACGTTTCGCTTCTTACATTTTGCTAGGTTGCAAGCTAATCCGAATATTTCCAATTAATGTGTCGCTCTTATTCGCCTTGATTTTCCTACACCGATTATACGTCTCGGAAGAGTCTCTCTGTAAATTTATCTCGCTACTACGTTTCCCTGCTACGTTTTACGTTTCACGTACCGTCGGATTTTTCCTGCTGTCCTGGTGATGAGTGTTTTCGCCGAGGGTGCCGCAGCGATTCAGCTGAATGTAGAACTCGTAGTAGTCGCGGCCGGTCCCGTTCACGTACATGCAGTCGGGGTCGTACGAGTATCCTGCAATTAAAAACGATTGTCCTTGATCGCGCGGCGATACACGGCCGACGGCGATCCGCGATATCCAGGATATCGATCGAGTTTATTCACGGACCCTGCCGCGTCATTAGGTCTTGTCCTCGCCCGCCTCGCGGGCGGCGGACAGGCGGAACCACGTCGACGTCGACGTTTTCTTCGTGAACGGACGCACGAGCGGACGGCGAAGCGTAAATGAGAAAATGTGACGTGTGCTCGTTAGCGCCAACGATAGGAAGTCTGGCATCGGCTCGTTCTCGCAGGACTTTTTAATCGTTCCGCGGGATTTATCGGCTCGAGTGTCTGGCGAACGAGCGAGTGGAAGGATATCCTGTTTGTTTGTCGAGGTATTAGTGGAGGGATTGTTTAAGGAATACCGCGCGTGTAGGAGAATTGAATTTTACGCGATTCTATATTCTATATATTCTATATTCTGGAGTAGAATTCCAAATCTTCAAATTCGGAGATTTGAAATCTAGAATTTCACAATTTAAATTTGTCAATTTGATAAATTTCACTCAAATTCTAACAATAATAATAATAATAATAATAATAATTTTGACAATAGTAATTTCCCTAGAAGCGAACGGACGTCGGAGTGGAAGTACGGCGAGATTCGAGGAAATTTCCCTTCTTTTTCTCCTCCCGCTCCTTCTTCCTCGCGCAAAATGCTCCGCGAAGAAATCACTTAGCCGATGACGCGGTTTTATCGCGCGCGTTACCAAAGGAGGAGGCGCGGCGCGGCGCGGCGCGGCGCGCTTCTTTCGAAATAACGGAAGTATCTTACTTGAACGGATGGACAGATGGACTTACGACGTCGGTGGAAAAATTCCGGCGCGGCCGACGTGGACGGCCGATCGCTTTACGATAATTTCCGCCATTACCTCGTTAGCGCGGACGTACACTCGTCGTCTCACTGTCTGCCGCGGTAATTGCGGATGCCAGCGAGATGCGGTCGGTTATGCAGCCACATATTTCAGCCGCGGCATTATGTCGAAACTGTTCACCGTGATGAGAGGGCACCCGGGGCGAGAGCCCCCGAGGCTTTTTCGACAACATGTTATTTGCGGCGTTTATTCATCTCGCGGTATTTATTCGACGCACATTCGCGTGTCTGCGATCCCATGTTAATTAAGAGAGGCTTTTTTCTCTCTCCCGCTGCCATTTATTTTCTCCGCGCGCGACGCGAATATGACGCGATCCTACGCTCGTCGTTAACGATAACGAGTGTCGAAGGGGTAGTAGTTTGAGGGGGTGGCTCCTCGGTGGCGCACGGTGGCGATCTCACCTGCCGAGTACAAGAGGCCGGTGAAAGATCCGTTGAATCCAATTCTGATTTTCATGTAGTCGTCTTGGCACTCCGCTTCGATATCTGAAAGAAAAAAGTATGCGTGTGATGATGCGATGTAATATACGATAATATGTAAATTTCGCGATTACACACACACACACACACGAGGGAGAGAATGTCAACGCAAATATGTTACGTTTGTTCGCGTTCATTTACCGCGCGCGATCCTTCGCGACTGAAGAAAGAAACGAGAATTTTGCCGCGCGGCGCTCATGCATACGTAATCTCGCGATTTCTCTCGGTCCGGCGAGCTTTACCGCGACGTCTCGCGCGGCGCGTCGCTCTGTTCAGCGGCGTTTCGACAAGCTATCAGGCAGGTTATCTGCGGGGGACCTACATCAGCCACATTGTTGATCCATCTGCGCGATCAACTCTCCCAAGCGTCTTGTGCGCGTCTTGTGTTGCATATTTGCGAAACCGAGAAGGTCTAGGTGGAGTCCGCGATGTCGAAAGGGGAAGGTGGAAAAGCCGGCGCGTATCCGGATATACCAACTGGCGGAAAAAGCGACGGCTTAATCTGCCGGTACCGATCTACCGCGGCCCGCCGGGAATCGACCCGGTCGAGTACCAGACCGACGTAACAATGGCGAGGAAGACAAAGAATACGGATCGTTACAGTTGCACCGCGTCGTCGAGTACGATCGAGCAATCCATCAGATCGCTCTTTAGCTGTGTCAGCCGCGGCCGATATCGTTATAAGACTCGCGTGAATTATTTATCGCTTGTCTCAAGTCAGATTTGAATTTACGTTTAAATACGATATATCTTGTTGCGGTTGAGAACCGCGGTTATATATAAAAATATAACGTATCGCGTATATCATATGTTTCGACCAAAAGAAAATTCCATTTTCTGTTCCTTATATTTCTTCCTTGTATCTCAGTTATCGTCACCGATGACATCAGAGTTTTCGAGCAAGGAAAATACTTGCGGATTTTCAGACTGTCTGAGAGAGAAATCACGCAAGAATCGCTTCGTTTTTATTCAAATTTGCAATTTATTCAAATTCGAGTATCTCGTGTGAAACCGAGAGTATTGTTATAAGACGAGTCTCGTTGCGTTAATAATTCCGAAAACGAAGTTCGCCGATAACGATCGTTATCTATTGGCGACTCGATCCAGTAGTGTAGTTCAACGAGTAGTGTTCAACGATTCCCCGCTTCGATCGCTGTCGAGCAAGTGGCCGGTCTTGGGAAAGCACAAGAGCGATAACGTTAGCGCGTATCGGGCGATTGCTGCGGGACTCGGGAACTCGGGACGTGTGTGGGACGCGTATCGATCGCGGCGATGCGCCGCGTCGCATCGATCGATCGTCGTGTGGGCGTGCAGATCGCGGCCGCGAGATCCTGTCGTTACACTCGCGTGTCGAAAGCGGCGCGGAAAATCGCAGATTCGCGGATAGGTGCGCGATAGGTGGTAGGAAAACCGGTCGTCGATGACGAATGAAAGTGAAAGTAAGTTGGGGGTCCCGTATAGGCGCTCTTCGTAGTAAGAAGGAGCCGTTTCCACAACGTAACAACGTAACACGCAGCGGCCGCAAAGCGGAATGGGGATTGATGGTGGATGAAGATAGTTACACTCGAGGTGTCCGCCGATGATACAACCTTTTCGTTTCCGCGACCCGTCGCTGCTGAAAACGCGCGACGTCACTCCGACACTCGGCCGTGTCTCGAGTCTCCGTCTCTCGGCGATCTTCGATCTCTTTTCGAATATCCCGTAAATCTCGTCGCGAAAGGGACAAAAAAGAGAAAAAGAAACGGAACGAAGCGGTCAGACTCGCGCAGTTACGCTGCCGTCGGCCGCACGTAAGCTTGTAAAAAGCAAAAGGTGAAAAATTGCCGACGTTTCGTGACAAAATTCACCTTTTCTTCCGAACCGTTTCTCTCCTTCTTCCCTTATCTTTCGGTCGAACGCGAGCGAAGACGTGAGGTCGATGCGGATCGACGACCGGCTAGACGAAATGAAGCCGGCGATGTAAAGTCGAGCCGCCGAGAAAGAGCCGCGCGCGCGCGCGTGAAAACAAGGATCCACGGAAAAATAATAAAATGGAGAGATGGAGATGAGGGGATTGAGATAGTCACACCGGAGGCGCATGCCGATGATACAACCGTTCCTCCCGTTTCACCCTCGTCGCGCTCGCGCGTGTCCGTCTCGCGGCGCGAGTGTGTGTGTGTGTGCGCCGAGCGCATTTTCGAGCGGTGCAACGCGCCGCGGCGCGTACATACGCACGTGCGTGCGTACGTATACGTGCGCTTATTAGAATTGCGGATACGTGCTTTGTGTTCATTGTCCGGCAAAACGTCAGTGGGCAGACAATGGGAAGAGTTGAGCAACGCCGATATTTGCTCGAACGTGCCGAGAGCGCCGGTCACGGGGGAATAAGAGAGAGAGAGAGAGAGAGAGAGAGAGAGAGAGAGAGAGGCGAGAGAGGAAGGGAGAGAGAAAAAGAAATACGACCGCAAGTATCGTCGGATTCTCCTTTAAAGATTCGCGTTACGACTCGCGCCGTAAAGAGCCGCGTGATTTTTGCAAACCGTTCAAATGCACACGGGAGAAATATTCTGGCGCCAACACACGTTCCCTCACCTACGCATTTACGATTACGCGGAATCCGTGATTTTTGTTATTAAATCTCTCTTTTTTCTCTTCGCGAAGATCGGATTTCGATCTGAAATCTTGAGTCTGACTTTTTTCCGACTCGTCCGATTCGTGTATTCGTCGAAGTAACAACCGGAGGCATCCGACCGGGAAAAATCGCAATCTCGTGTGTGCGACGCGAATAGCGAATCGCGTGGGAGAAGTCGATGAGAGAAACAGAGAGAGAGAGAGAGAGAGGGGGGGGGGAGCAACAGCAGCAGCAGCGAGAAATGGACCTCGGGTCTCGAGGACGCACGAGAGGAGCGTTGCCGAGGAGGATACATTAAACCTAATGGGCCCTCTTTCGCGTAATTGACGATACCGCGGGTGGCCGCAAGTTCCCGCGGAGAGCGAGCGGCTCGATTTTACGACTTCATTGAACCGGCGGGCCTCCATACGCCGCCGTGAAGCATTCATCATTGCCGATGGACGAGCTCGTCCGAATGTTTTAGGAAATTTACCGTAGCGACGCGATCATCGATCGTCCCGTCGACTCGCTCGCCACGGATCGATTCATCTTCTCGAAAAGTGCCTGCGCGCTCGATCGTTCGACGGACCCACCGTGGCCTGATTTTTCTCGCGGCAACACGCCCGCAACGCGGACGATTTATCAGGGCAAAGTACGCGGAGCGCCGTGTGGAGATTTATGTTAATCGCTCGCGTGCTCGCTTCGATTCTTCCCCGCGACTGGAATAATGACGAAACCGTCGCGTCTCGCGGCGAGAGGAAACGCGAACCAACGCGCAACAAGCTCCGCGAAATTTACGCGCATAGGTGCGCTCGAAAAAAAATATACTGAAATTGAAAAAGCGCGGGCAATCTCCTGAAGAGTAGTAATAAATACCCCGAGAGAGAGAGAGAGAGAGAGAGAGAGAGAGAGAGAGAGAGAAGGGGGAGAGAGAGAGAGATTCCGGACGTCTCGCGCGATATTCGGATTTCGTTATCGTAATCTTTCAGGAAATTGTTTCCGGTTTCCGAATTTCGAGCTTTCTATTTTTCAGGACGATAATATATACACGCCCACCGATCTCGCGATCCCGCCGATTTATTAATTCCGCGCCGAGCCCCTGGACAATGGCCGATCGTATCTTCGTTCGGCGAACAATGTGTGTTAGCGAGGCAGACTGGCGCGTGCAACGATTCGCCGGGGAAAAAAGGGAAAAGAAAAGGACACGCGGCGATTAATTGTGGGCGGCAAAAAGCGCGAAAAATAGTTTAATAGCGGCTCGTTCCGGTCGGATCGACGGCCGAAGAGAATGCACGATGCGTCGTTAAGGCATTTTTCGCGCGTCACGGTTTCCAATATACGGTCGTAATTTTCCGTAAAGCGCAATTAAAAGGGCCCCGCGAAGGGAGGCGCACGGTAATGGTATGCGACCCTCGCGTCGATAAATATTGTTTATTTGCATTGCCGCGAGACACGGTGTAATTTTCTGCGGGTATATCGACGGCGGGCGCAGCGCGCGCACTCCGTGTCGTCGATTATTCGCCGTGGTATTATTCCAGGCAGTCGTAATAAGCTTCCGAGTTTTTCCTTTTCTTTTAGCTTCTCCTCCCCCTACCCTCCCCCCCCTCTCTCTCTCTCTCTTTCTCTTTGCTATCTTGAAATTGAAATTTTACAAGCCGTTGTGCCCAACGGACTGACAATTTTTGCCAGCAACGCAATTTACTTGCATTCGCCTTTGCGCATCAATTTCCTTAAATTTATTTTCTACGTTTATTCACCGCATTTATCTGCGTCTTTCCGCATCTTTGCATTGTCATGTTATCCGCTTCTGTAAAATTGCTCGGTGCACCCGAAGTGACTTAACCCAGAAAACGGATGATGAATAATGCTTTATCTCTGTCTCTGTCTCTGTCTCTCTCTCTCTCTCTCTCTCTCTAGAAAAATCGTTCTCGCACACGCCGCGGATGTGCGTAACACATGCGCACATTGTGCGCAAAAGGAGATCAATTTTGTTTTCACAGAACATTGTACTTTTATAACGGTACGCCGCGCGTCACATCGCCGTTAATGTCTTGTTCCACTGGCATTAATTACCGGCCCGGCGTGTGCACGGGCCCGCTATATGGGTTTATTAAAACTGAAGCATCAGCTGATTAACGGAGCCTAATGAGACGTCATTGATTAAGCCCGTCGGCGTCGTAAATTCCGCGCTCCGGGCTCTCTAATCAGCGAATTAGAAAATTTATCGCGACGCGTTAATTTCGAGATAATTATCCCGTCGCGCGGAATCGCAGTCGCGATCGCGCGCGCGTAAATCCATCCGTATTATCCCATTCCGCGGGCTCGGCTGCGCTTCCAGCGTAAAACGCGCGCGCGTCTGACTGCTGCGCGCAAAAATCGATGGGCCGAGAGCGACGAGAGGAAAGGAGAAAAAATTAACGTGCAAAGAAATCGCGACGTAATAATAACAAGTAACCCCTCCCCCCGCCCTCTTCGAGTATCGCAGATACGCGCTCGAGATAACGCGGACTCGTTCGGGGAATTTCAGTCGGCCTCGACGTCATCGCGGCATAGCGTCACGTCATCGCGAACGAGAAACCGATACGACGAGATGAAGACGAAGAAAAAGAAGAAGGGGGAAAGGAGGGAGAGAGAGAGAGAGAGAGAGAGAGAGAGAGAGAGAGAGAGAGAGAGAACGAACGAGCGAGCGAAAAAATAGCGTAACGGCCGCTCGTAAACATCATTTCATAACGACGACGGCGGCGACGACGACGGCGGTGGCGGCGGCAACGACGGCGGCGTCGCCGGCGCAATTTCCTCGCGGAAAAAGCGAGATGCGGCAGCAACGAGCTGTCGTCGATTACCGGCGCCATAACGTACGGCCGTCAAAATATCTGCAGGCCAGGTCTGCGCTGCACGCTGCACGCTCTTCTCAGTCGAGTCGAGTGGAATCGAGTCGAGGGGCGATCAGCGAGCGCGATGCGATCCAGATGCCGGGATAGATAATGACGATCGCGCGGCGCGGCGGTTCGACCGATGATGATGACGACGACGACGATGATGCCCGGGCACGCGAGGGCTCCGACGATGATGATGAGCGCGAAAGGTAGAGATGCCATCGTCGGAGGCGGTAACTACGGCGCTGTGCGGTGCGGAGTGATGTGGTGTACTCTCCTGTGCTCGCGGCTTACGTACTCTCGATGTCGAGGAGCGTCGTACGACTTTCCGACACCGTTTTAATTGCCTCCTCTCTAACGGTAGCCACTCGCCATCGCACTCTGAATTCCCGGGCGCGCATTAGCCGAGGGACCGACGAGGAGGAGATGGACGGCGGCGTATAGGTCGCGGAACGTGCGCTCGCGTCCATCGACGCGATGATTCTTCGCCGACTTCGAGTCGAGACGACTCGATCGACCGGCAGATAGGAAGGGGGCAGGGAGGGAGGGAGGGAGACAACCGCGAAAAGCAGGCTAAGGCCGGACTCGCATCCGTTCGCACGGCTGGCAATCCTTTGAGCCTCCGTCGAATTTTTTTTTAATAGAATTTTAATAGGATCACCTGCGTTGCATCGCTCGGGGCGGCGGGGGGGGGGAGGGGGAGAAAGATTGCTCGAATTAACGCGACGATGAACGAATCGGAAGTTTTGTTCGATTCAACCGATCTGTTTTTCCGTACGTGAATATCTGAATGCGAAGGCATCGGAGGACGTTTCGCCGGCCCGGCCTCGTCGCGTCGGCGCGGTCCTCCGGGCTTCCCGCGGACGGTCAACCGGCGTAAAAGTAACGGGCTCGGGCATGCTAAAACGAAGGCGCTCTCGCTTCACCGAGGGGGGCACACTGACCCAGCGGACCGATGCGAAATAACGCGGGCGCTTTTTGCGCCGGCCGCTTTGATTCGGACAACGAGAAATAGCGGGTTCGCGTGCGCGCCTGACGCAGCACCCGCCTCTCTCTCTCTCTCTCTCTCTCCTCGCCCCATCTCGCTCCTCCGAGAGTCGCGTTTTCCACGAGAGGGGAGAGAGACGAATCATTTCCTCGGCTGGTACAGGCTCGCTGGAACGTCGTATGTAATAATGTAATCGCGCGAGCCAAATTGAAGCGATAATCTATCGGCGGCCGTGGCGGCGGGGATTTCTGTTGATTCTAGATCGACGTAATCGATACCCTTTTGCGCGCAACGTGTGTTTCCGCTGGATTAAGCGTCCCGCGATCGCGAGCCGGCCTATTAGAGGCGCTGGTAAAGCAGGAAATTTCTATTAGCTCGGCAGATTGTTAATGCTCAGGCCGTGAGCGGCAATTTCCCGCTCGGTGCCCTGCGTTTGATTTATATTTAGTTTGTCTTATTGCAAAACGCGCGCACGCGCGGACGAATCGCGCCGCGAACGTCGCGGGCTTGGTGGCCGCGCTCGCATCTGCCGATATATTTATGCCATCAGGTCGGTTGGCGGGAAAAACGAGAAAGCGCATCGCTCCTCTCTCTCTCTCTCTCTCTCTCTCTCTCTCTCTCTCGTCGCACTCACGTTGCACCCTCGTAGTGTTGGGCCGGTATCTGCGGTGCTCGCGGTCCCAAGTCTCCGGGTGTCTCCTCCAGTCCTCGTCGCCGGCCACCCCCGTGCCGCTGCCTGTGGCGAGTCCTTGCAGACCTTGCAGAGTCTGGAGAGCTTGGAGATTCGGGCTCAGCGGTCGGTTCTTCAGCGACGGCACCGGCACGTAAGCGCCCCCGTCGCCGACGTACACGACCTTGCCGGGCAAGAAAGATGAAAGCTCATTAAAACGATTATAATAATGAAAATATTATAGGTAGATAATAGGTATTATAGGTGGATAATAATAATGATAATAATCCGGCGTACCGCACTCGGGATAAAACCATCTTTCAGATACTATTTATTTTGTTTATACTATTTATACTATTTATTTAGATACTATTAGGTCTATGTACACTAGGAAAAATGTATCGTTGCGTGAGCCAAAATTTTGTTGTGACAACAAAATAATTTGGTTAAAATATGCCCAACGAAACTGTTTAGTTCCTGTAAAAAAATGTCTTGTCTGGTTACGGTTTGTTCGTATAACGTAATACTTTTGTTATAACAACCAAAAAGCTTTAACTATATGAATTTTGTTAAAAATACTGTTATTTTTTCTTAATATATAAAATTTAAATTTTAGTGCACAGAAAGACAAAATAGTATCCATTGGGCATTATTTTAGTTTATGTAAAATAATATTTCGTTACTATGTAATTTTTATGGATAAAATAACTAAAATGCTTAATTTTTATATATAAAGTCTACGAACAAAATCATTTGGTCCAGAGAACAAAGCAGAAAAATGTATTTAGTTGAGACAACTAAATATTTTGTTATGTAAAACAAGATATTTGGTTGCTATAAAAAAAATGCCTCGACTAAACAGTTTTGTTACTAGAGATACTAAATCTCTTTTCCTAGTGTACACTTCGCACGGTTTGAAGAATTTGTAAAAGTCATTTAAGCACGAAGCTTAGCGCCGTCCAGGAAATCGCGACTGTCTCCGTATACTCGCGGGAAAATCTCACAATTCAAGGAAATTAACGCGATATCCGTTCGATTACCGTTCCCGGAGACTGCCGCGGTCTTCCCCGCGCGCGCTCGAGAGAGCATAAAACAGCAAAGACATCGATAATCGATCGGACCGGGGCGTATAATCGTCATGCGGCTGGAAACCCTTCCCGCGGAGATGCGGAAATTACCGCTGAAGAAAGCAGTCCGGTGCGCTCCGCGATCGCTCGCGCTCGCGCTCGCGCAACAGTCGCGACTGAGCAAGAGAGGAGGGAGAGAGAGAGAGAGAGAGAGAGAGAGAGAGAGAGAGAGAGAGAGAGAGAGAGAGAGAGAGAGAGAGAGAGAGATAAAGTACGGTCCCCGAGGAGATCGTTCGCGCTAATAACCGACCACCTGCGCCAAACTCCGCCGGCGCTATCAACGATATTCATCCTCCGGGAGCTCGGAAAATGAACACGAGGAATCCGCTAACGAGTCGCAGGTAGTGATTTGCGGGTTCAAAGCCGTTAGCCCGCGAACTCGCGCTGACTCCTTTCGCATCGCCGATGTGGAAGCGGTATTCTCCGCGAAATATTCTCGCGTACAGCGCTCGATCCGGCTATGCAAAACCATCCCGCCGAGAGCCGCCGGGAGCCCTGACCTCTCCTACGTTAACGATCCGATTTAACCCCCAACCTGTACGGATCGAGCTACCGCTCGAGCGGTGAGAAAGGGCGAGAAAAAGCGCCGGGGGTCGAGACCGCGACGAAGAGGAGTACGCGGAAGAGGGAGGGCGTCGGCGGCGTCGGCGGCGGCGGCGGCGGCGGCGGCATTGGAGAATCCAGGGAGGCGGAAAGGGAGAGAAACCGAACGAGGAAGTCTACGAAAAACGGACAGCACGAGTAGCGCGTGACTAACGCTTTACGAGCTCATTCCCCGGGCAAGCGTGGGTACCCGAGGTCTTCCATTCGCGTACGGGTGCCACGTGCACAAGAAGAGGAGCAAGAAGAGCGAACAAGATGGACGGGGGGGGGAGAGGAGGAGGTGGCGGCGAGGGTGTGGGTGAGGGGATTGTACGTCGAGCCGCTTGTCAGCGAACGCGATGCGAGCGCGGCAGGTAGGCACCTCTACTCGGGCGAATCGGTCGTGGTCTAAGGAAGAAGAAGAAGAAGAAGAAGAAGAAGAAGAAGAAGAAGAGAGGAAGGGGAGAAGAGAGGAGACAGGCACGTGGTTAGCGCGGCGCGGACTCGCGGGAAAAAAGCCGCGAACAGCTTCCATATGCCGTGACGAAGAAAGAAACTGCCACTCCGTTCCGGCCACCTCCTCCACCTTCTCTCTCTCTCTCTCTCTCTCTCTCTCTCTCTCTCTCTCTCTCTCTTTCTTCTATTTTTTCCCGTCGTCAGCCGCGCATTTTCTCTCTCTCTCTCTCTCTCTCTCTCTTTCTCTTCTCTTCCGCCGAGTTTACAGCGTTTGACGCGCGAACGACAGGTTGGCCGAGTTGGCCGAGTGAGCGCGAGCTTCTGCGCGAGAATCGCCAGGGAAATTATTTCTCTTCACGGATTCCACTTTTGAGGAATTTCACTCGAACGGAACTCGAGTACGATGCTCTCCGCTGCGAGACGGACCGCGGAGACCGCGGACGCGATCTCTCGCGGGTGCGCACCGTCGCGGGAGAAAGAAAGAGAGAGAGAGAGAGAGAGAGAGAGAGGAGGAGAGACGGGCGTTTATGGGCCAGTAGAGTAGTTAGGAGATCGTTCTTCTCTCGGCAAGAAACCGACCGGGAGGAACTCGGCTGCGCGCTCGGCGGCTCCGGGCAGCGCGGGAAATGAGCGGTGGTCTTTGAATCCGCCTCGGTATCTCGTAGGAATGCATTACGGAGGTAGAGAGCTGACGCGAACGATAAGTGCCGATTACCTCCTCTCTCTCGGACTCTCTCGGCCGTACGCTTAACCGCGGCCACGGCATTAACTGTGCTACACTGTAGGAGATGTAATAACGCGAAATGTGCCCCTTCATGTTGATCCTCGAGCTCGCGCTCGCGCCCGCGCCGATGGGATTCGCATTCCCTCATCGACGGGGGAGGAGGATCCTAAACGCGTCCACCTCCATCCAGCCGCTCCTTTCCGGGAAGACTCGCTCTCCGACGAGTCTGTCCTTCTTCAATCGGTTCCTCGGAAAATTCCATCATTTTTCGGAAGCTGCGCGCGGACGGTGTCGGCGAGAGGGCGTTGCCGTCCCGCGCAAAGGGGGTACAAGGTTTCGCACCTGCGTCAAATGAAGACCGCGGCGCCGTTTAGCGGGGAGTTTCTTGCGGCTGAGCGAAGCAGCCTCCTTTCGCTGCGAGAGCGCCGCGTTATGCAGACCCCCCCCCCCGTACGTAGACACGAGCATATGCACCGCGTGAGTGTAACTTTTTGCCCCGATTTATTGCACGTCCCGTAACAATAATACTCCGTCGTGCAAAACTGGCGCGATCTTGCGAGAGAGGCCTGACCTAAAATCGCCGGAGCGTTATTAGCGCGCGCGCATCATGTGCATCGCGTGAGAAAAACACGTTCCTTGACGATCATCAATATCCACAATATCGGCCCCCGGTTTTCCCTCGCGGAAGAAGAGGAACAGGACGACGACGACGACGACGACGACGACGACGACGACGACGACGACGTTGAAGAAGCAATAGAAGCACTAAGTAATCGCTTAGCGTTCTTGCACGCTGCGAGATGACGGCTACGGTCGGCTTTTTTCTCCGGGGTGAATGTTTGTTTCTTCCGAGGACTGCTTGTTCGCTCTCTCTCTCTCTCTCGCTCTCTCTCTCTCTCTCTCTCTGCGCCGCCTCCGTCGATCGAGATGCGCGCATTCATCGCATGATTAACGGTCGCGTGGTTACAGTGTCGAAAGTCATCAGCGGAGTAAGATAGCTCGGACGGCTTGGACGAATGCGTCCAGTATCTCATCTCTAAGAGAGCGGCGCCGTGATTGAGTTGATTGCTGAAGTTCTCAGGGCATTACTCGAACGCGATGATTGGGGGGACCTGGGAGAGACGTCGCGTGAGAAAACGTCGCGTTAGGGTAGTTGGTAGTAGCTCGCTTGGTCACACCGGACGATTTGGTCCTCGGGAGGTTAGCCGACGATCACATCGCTTCCTGGGAGGTCATTTTCCATTGCGTTGACCGCGCGACGTTGACAGTTTACGCGGAAATACCGTCAAGTGAAGCGAAGAGAGTCCAATTCTCAACGATTGATTGACAGCACGTAATTTGGAACGAAATTCTAGGATCGATGAAGGATATCCAATTTTTTTATTTTTTAACCTTTTATGCTAATTATTGCGTGCTAATTATGCTAATTATGCTAATCATCGCGTGCTTCTCTCGGTATAAGCATGAAGGCGAGGGTTTGGGAACATCGAATGCTCGCGATGTCGTGTCTGTGAAGTTAGCACGACGTTTCAAGAATTATTAAAAAAGAATGTTAGTTCCAGTAGCATTTTTCACAGTTCTACAGTTCCCGATAGAAACAGAAAGAAGTTCCGTATTCTTAATATCAAGAAAACGAAATTGAAAAAATGTCGTGCTAATTTCACGTTCCAGCACGACACAGTCTCCTCTAAAGTAGCCCGTGAATAACACGCTTTTTGACGAGACTTCCCGTTAGCTCCAGACTAGTTCTATAACTATGGAGCATTTCAAAACAAAATTCCAACAATTAACAATCCTGTACAATTTTAAATATTCGCCGCCAGCACGACACTCGGTGAAAACATGTCGTGCCGTCGACTTCCTGCACTTCTGACGGTAGTTCCAGCTTGTTCCACTCGAGTCTCATACAATTTAACCATTTGCAGTCATTGTTTCGCCGTATAATTACTCTTAAATTAATTTTAACTTTTGGCGCCAGCACGATACACTCGCTGAAAATGTGTCGTGCCGTCGACTTCCAACGCTTCCGACGGCACTTCCAGCTCGTTCTACTCGACTTCCATATGTGCTAACGTGCGCGACACACATAAGCCGAAATCCGAACATAAAATAATAGAGCGAAAACTAGACTAACGGCAGATTGAAAAATCCGTTTTCCAGGTTTCCCGGTTTCCCTGGGAAATCTCGCGCAATTTCTCATCGTCCCCACGCGGAACGCCAAAACGCAAAAAGAGCCGAGCAGAAGCAAGCAGGTCGCGCGGCAGCTCGGAGCTCCGGAGCTTGGGGTTAATTTCCGTGCGAAGGAATGTAAATCGAGACGCGCGATAGATAATCCGAGATAACCGCGCGGGACGGACAATTCATTGGAGATGCGTGAAATCATCAGTCACCGTCGTCGGCCGATGATTCGTATCGAAATAGCTTCCGCCTGCGCGCCGGCTGAGTCTTAAGTCGTCGCGTCAACTCGGCGCCCTGCGGCGCGCAGCGCCTGATATTATCGGTCTCTTTGCCTTCTTAATCGAAACGAACGGAAACGGCGGAATCGCGCGCGCGCGATAGAAAGCAGCGCGGGATGAAATGGATCTCGTTTCCCGGTTTCGCGTGCGAATCGCGCGCACGACCGGAGGCGGGCAGACAGACTCCGCGGCGCTTCGTAATGGGATCCCCTTTCGGGACGGACGCGAGGCCGCGAGAGGAGGCGATGTTTATCCGCGCCTCTCGCAATTTGCGAGATATATAACGAAGGTCGCGCGGCGGCCGCGCGCGATACCCTTTCTCCCCTGGCGCTATTCCGGGCCGCTGGAAACTGGTTCTTCCGCGATCGAAATCGATTCCGCTGGAAACTAGTTTAAAGACCGATCCGGTCGGATCGGCCGATAAATCGGCCGATTAATCGGAGAAATAGCTTCTCTCTCCCTGTTCCACTTCCTGGCCGCGGCCGGTGTCAGACGCGCGCACAACCTACCCCGCCCTTTCGTTCAGGAAGGGCCAACGGAATTTGCTACGTGCCGCGCGAAGAAGGTGGATTGTTGCCCGAGCGACTGCTCGGCGATGGCGAACGTGCCCCTTCCTCCTCCTCCTCCTCCTCCTCCCCCGCTCGCCGGCCGGCCGGCCGGGTAAATTGATTTCCGCCGCGAACGAGCACTCTCCTTCGCGGCTCTGTGACCGCCTGTGGACTTAACATTGTAACAGGGACTCGGCGGAGCGAGCGGCGTCGCGATGAGGTCAGCGGAGACGCTCGACCGCGTGCTACGTAGATCTTCGGCAGGCCGCGGCGCGGTTTTTCCGCTCGATCGAGGACGCGCGGCGATCCCGAGGCGCGTCGTCGCGTCTTTGCCACGGCACTGCTAACTGTCGACGTTCCGCCTCTTTCTTTTGCCTCCCTTTTCTGCCTTTTTATCCTCGCGAATATCGTAGCGGATGCAGAACACCTGCATCTAGGTTCTCCGCTCGGCCTTGCGCGCCTCGCCTCACCGCGCCCCGCCATGAGCATTCGCTAACGAGGAATCACGCAAAACTGAACAGATGGGCGAGTATCATTCCTGCTTCTTCCCCGCGCCCCTCGCTAGCTTCCTTTTTCCCCGGCCACTTTCGAGGAAACCGTTCGCCGATTAGCCGTGTAACTGGACGGACGCGACCGCGCAACGGTGACTGCTCCTCCGCGTCTCGTCTCGCTCGCTCGCGCGCGCGCGCGCGCGCGCACCTCTTTCTCCTCTTGTTACTCTCTCACTTTCCTCTTTACCGTGCGTGAGCGCGAATTTCGCTCGACGAAAGTTCCACAGGCGCGTGCGTCCCGTGCGATCCAAAGATCGCGTCCGTGAGTCGCCGGCGAGTTCGAGACTGCACTCGCACGACATCGCGCGATCGATCATCCGTCGAAACGATCCTCAACGCTCGCGCATCGGAATATTCATCGTCACGTTCCGATTATTTGCGTTGAGGAAAAAATTGACGGAAGATCGATGGAGTCCCGTCCACCGCCGTTTGTCTAGACGGACATATGCGAGCCCGACTCGGTCGCGACTCGGTCGTTGACGTTCTGCTGCGGAGAACTGATAATCCGCGACGTCGATCTTGGAAATTTTTCGTCTTTTTTCCCTCTTGACTCCTCACATTATTTGCAATCTGTCCTGAATCAGGATCCGTTCAGTAATGGATTTGTAGTTAAAAGACTTGCACACGAAAATTGTGTCCAATGACGACACACGTTCTGAAGCTATCAGAAGTACCGGAAAGTCTCGTTGTTTTTATCAGAAAACTTTGCGTGAAAATAATAATAAAGTTCGATAATGAAAGTTGATATACGCAATAAAGAAATGTTGTTGACCAGTCTAGAATTTACATTAATCCTGGATTAAAATTAAAAACCCGTATTATAATCGCGACAATATTGAAGGCTTTAAAGTAAACGAAAAGACTTTCCGGTACCGCCGATAGCTATGACATTACATCAGTTTGTGAGTCTAATCTGACGCTAGCTTTCTCTTGGGTGATCGCCGAAATATCGCTTCGGCCTGGTTCCCGAGTGCGTTATGCTCTGCACGCGCGAGAACGCGCTCGTAATAGCCTCCCGTCCCGCGCGAAATCTGCGTTAATCAATATTAACTCAGCGCGAACGGCGGGGCTGCAACGAACGTGCCGCTGCAAGGATAACGGCACGAAGAAATAACCGCGAGAACCGACGAAACTTCTTGCGCGCGCGCGCGCGCGTGTGTGTGTGTGTTCGTGCGCACGAGCGCAACGTCTACCGTGAATTTCAATAAGTAAACGCGCAATGCGAAACAAATTGGCGATGCGTGACTTACAGCATCGTGGTCGCTGGCCTCGTGAGTCAACGCTTCTCTGGTTTCGTTATGAAGGGATTCATCCTCGTCGGGGCCCGATCCGCTGCTCGCCCAATAATCCTCGGTCGTATCGTCGATAACAGAATCCTCGGAGTTGCCGTCCACTTCCGCGTTCTCGTGATTGGCGGTCGCCTACGGAACAAAATCGCGTCCGCGAATAGATATCCTCGTGCTCCTGCTCGTCCTCGTCGTCGAGTCACCGCGCGGCCGGCGCGAGCGCGAAAGAGATGTACTCACCTGACACCTCAGCGTCACCACCGCCAGCATCCAGACGGAGATGTACCTGCAACACGATACGGAATTGCAATTAGCCCATTAAAGTCCGCAATGACCTCGGGAATATTTTTAATTGTTGCAAACCTTATTTTCTAGAAATCTCGATATTCAAACTATTCTTATTAAGGGGGAAGTAAAAGTGAGAGTTGAAAGTGTCGGGGGGTTATAACATAAAAATAAAATTCACACATCAGTCGAGTGGATTCTATTAAAAGAGAAAAAAAGCGCTCGATAAGTGGGTCGCTAACGAATCAAAAAATCAATTTAAACGCGAGACCAGCGAGAGAAAAAATCAGCGGCATCGTCGAAAAAATCGTGTCGCGGAGTATCTTGCGCGTTGCGCGCTCGGGCCGCGTAGCCGATTATCTCCACGACAATGTCACCGTAGGAGAAAAGCGGCTTGCGAAGCAAGGACGATCGCGGGCGGTCGTCTCGCGGCGGTGAAACCCGTCGTTACGACGAAAGATAACGAAAGTCCCCGCGCGCGTTGCGGAGGGAGAACGACAGGCTCGAGGGGAAAAGAGCGCGCGCGAGCGCAGCCGAGAAGCCAGCGGGGAAAAAAGCGGACGAGCACTCTCGCGAGTCGCGAGAGCGAGCGGCTTGGATTCTCCGGCGAGATGCATCGCTCGCTCACCAAGTGAGCTCGCTCTATGGGAACCGAACTGACACGGATCGCAACGCATTACACGTCGCACGGCCGATGTAATAAGAGCATCGCGCGCGCGCGCGCGCGTTCTCTTCCTCCTGCGCGGATCACGCCGCGACCTACGATGTGACTCATCTCCCGCGCGCTCCCCCTCGCCGATATCCTCCGCATGAGCCTGGAGAATGAGTTCCTTGCCTCGGCGTTGACTCCGCCGTTTCTAAGACCTTTTCGGTGCTTCCCGTCCGGCTTCGCGCGCCATTCGCACGCGGCGGCGACCCCGCGCAGCCGCCCGTATCAATCCTCATCTGCTGCGCTCGCGCGGCTCTTCTAATTACTCCGCGGGCCTCGTAGCACTGGAGTAGTCTCCCCGTTTTGCTCGCTTTGCTCGCGGCTCGCGGATTTATCCGTCTCGCCGATTACGGCTCATTCGACGCGTCGAGCGTCCGAAATGTTTGGCGCTCCGGCGCGATGCCGCGCGATGTAATCGCGAGACGCGAGTTTATGCCTCTCGTCTCTCTGGGATCTGCTAATCTCTCTCTCTCTCTCTCTCTCTCTCTCTCTCTCTCTCCGCCCGTCGTTCTCGGCCGTTTCGTTCAATCGCGCTCTCATTTCTCGAGAGACGACGCTCCCATCTCCCGTTGATTAACAAGTCCGTTAAGAATCGTGAGACGCACCTCGCGCATACCGAGAGAGAGAGAGAGAGAGCGCTCGTCGCATTTTTGCCGTCGTCATGCGCAGAGTCTTGATATGCACTCCTGCGCGCTCGCGCACGTACGTTGCTCTCCGCCTTCCGGGACAATAGAAATTTATCTGGCGATTCATCGTGGTCACATGTTGCCGACGGTAATAATTATCGCGCGGACTTGAGCGACGTTATCAGCCCGCGGCCGCTTAATCGGCCGGTCCCGCGCGCGATTTTCGCGGGGTCGCGGGAATCGGCTGACCGTAGTTTTCCGAGACCTTATCGTCGAGGGTTTTAAGCGCATATTACTCGCGTTACGAGCCTGCCGACCGACCGGCCGGACAGTCGCCGTTTCATCTCGACGGTTAAGCGGTTGTTTGGAAAAAAAACACGGTGAAATGCTTCCCGCATGCTGGACTCGTCCGGGGAAATTACCTGCATCAGGTCAAAGCGCACTGTGCACGGCGGATTAAATAGCATAGTGAATCACGACGATGCGCGCCGGGGAACTTGAATCGTCCGTCGCCGACGTCTGCGCTTCGCAACAATGTGCTGGACCTGCACTTGGAGTTTATTGTTTTGTCCCGGGCGTATTATCCACTTGGACACGCTGCATTGGATTTGACAAGGTCTGGCATACGCGAGACTCAAGGCTCGTTACGTCCTGAGAAAAAAATGGCCAATCTCCATCGGCGGAAAGCATTGTGTACAACTATGTAAAATTGTGTATAATTATACACCTGCGCGGAGAGAAAACGCTATAAATTTTTAGACGTTGCATCGAATCTTTTGTATTTGTACAACGGAGCATTTTTTGTGTGGACAAACGTCCGATTATATATGACGATATATATATATATATATATATAGACAAATTCATGTATAACGATATTTTTCTTTCCGCATGCTACTAAATTACAACAAGCTCGAAATCAACCGGCGAAATCGGTTATTAGCGAAGCGAAGAATGTTCCCCGTCTTCCATGTGGAATCGTCGCGTCCCCCGCCGAGTGTAGCTTTTACCGCGCGCGGCACGCGGTAAGTAACATCCGCGGAACGCAAAACCGTTGGTAATGCAATCCTTTTATTTCCGCATTAAGGCAAACGGAGGAATTAAGAGGGGGACCGACTGTCCGTACTTACACGCATGTGTACAGACAGTACATACGTCTGCGCCGTGCTCGAGCGATTAAACGATAATTATCACCGCGTAACGGTCCGCATCGCCAATTCGTCTTCTTCTGCAATATGTTAGACGATGACGGGGATGATACGTTGATAGCCATTCCGCAGAATGTTGCGCACGTAAGATGATTATAAATACCTCGCCGTGCGCGCGGCGCGACTAAAGCAGCGGGGGCGGGGGGGATCCATCTTGCCCTGCGCGTGCGGCGGAATTCGAGTCATCGCAATTATATCGGTTGTCAACGAGATGATGGGATAACGATAATTATGATAATTAATATATCGTCACCGTCGAGGGGAAGAAGTAGATAGAGAGTCTGGACGGGGCGAGCTATCACATCGGGTGACGATTGCAAGCACGGAACTTGCAATTGGGACCTGTCTCGTCGCGCTTCCCTCGCCGCGCATCGTCGCGACGTCTTCCCCACGATCGGGGAAATTATCCCCGAGTCCGGTTATTCACTGAGCGTCCTCTACGGCGCGTCTAAACGGCCGTCTTAAACGCTGGAACGCTCGTACACATGCACTACTGGAAGTCTGCCGACTGAATTACCCGTGTAACGTAAACTCGTCCCGAGCGTAAAAGCTCCAACGGGAAATTGAAGGCGACGTATTTTGCGAGGCGCACGTCGGCCGAGCTAGAATTTGCCTCATTAGACGGCGGATCGGATTGAATTCACAAATCGCACTCGTCTCTCTGTCTCTCCCCCCCGCTCCCTCCCTCCTCCTTCGCTCATCCTAGCTTCGCATCGAAAATTGAAATCAATGAAATCCGCGAGTACGTGTTTCCTGACTGATATATTAGCTTTTCATTTTTTACTCGCCTAACGGAGCTCACGCGAGAGTGTGAGTCATTCGACACGAGTGCCTCGGTCTCTCTCTCTCTCTCTCTCTCTCTCTCTGCCTCGATCCATCATTCGCCGACGCGAATCGCCTGCTCCAGACGATCTTACGGACCGTGAACGTGACTCGCCCGGCGAGTCCGCGAGCGAGCACTCCGGCATCATCGTTGCCGCAATTCCTCATTCGCGATGTTTACGCATCGCGTTATAGAAACAATCAATAATCCCATATCATCGATATTGCGAACACCGCTGGCGAACGGCCGCGCCTCCACGCTCCGCGACGCGGCGTTCCCACGTCGTCCATCTGTTCCTCGGGAGATCCCGAAGAAGCGCCCGCCTATCCGTCTGTCTACCCGTCCGTCCGATCGTCGGCTGAATCGCATCGAATTAATTACCGCCGTCCGTCGAGCGCGTCGGCCGCGATCGATAATTTCGCGAAACTTGCCGCGCGCGGACGGCACACTCGAGAGCGCGCCGAGTAATTATTATATTCGACACGATTCGTCGTGCCGAGCACAACGGTGTGCAACGGAAGGGTTGTCGGTTGTGTGCCACGCGAAAATATCGTCGCGCGGCAGACCGCGGACGTACGACGACAACATTGATGGTGATGATGATGACGAGCGTTAATCATGTGGCGCCACACCTCTAAAGTGGAACTCTCGTAGGTTTCATAACCAGGAAAAGACGTGCGGCGACGTGTGTGGGCGGCGGCTTCGCTTGCATCGCTTGTCGTAGGTTAATTTATGCGTGTTATCCGAGCCGAAAATTTGGTCTCGCGCGTTAATCTTGCAGATTTCATCGAAAAATCAGTGGACAATTTTGAAATTTAACACCACATATGCTATCGTTCCTATCTTCTGATGCTACGAACGACGACTAGCATAATTAATTAAGCGGCCATTTTCTTCATTTCTGTGTTAAAAGTAGAATCTATTTTGGAATTACTCAACATTCGTTTACATCTCAATATTCTACCCATATTTAATTTTTAGTTTTAATTTCAACGAGCAATCTATTAATCGTACAGCTAATCAGATCTGTTTCTTTCCGATACAGCATTCTGCTCTCGGCTGGATCGTCATGACATCCCGAATTCCGAGTGCTAATTCCGCGACATTGACATTTGCATCGGCAATCAAAACGATTTGATCGGAAAACCACGTATTAATTACGTCGACACGATATGTCGCCGAGAACCCAGTTAAATATTTCAAGAACCGACGGGATATTTGTCATTTGTGTGGAATGTAATGCAACGCTTACGGAGGATTCAGCTTTCTTATAGAGAAGAATGTATTCTCTATGAGAAAGAGAGTTGTTCTCCTATTGGATATCGCACGTCGTATATCGGACGTCGGACGCAATGTGAATCCTCCATAAGTCACGAAAAAAAGTGCGCGAGAGTACCAAAAGGTCGGCGAGAATGTGATCGTATCCCCTCTCCTCGCTAATACGACCGCCGCGCCGCGCGACTACGCATAGTCAAAACATGCGCGACCTTGCGGACGGTCAAATTTGCCTTTATGCTTCGCGAACTTTTCCGAGTGCGTCCATTTTGTTCCGGACCAGCGGGGGATACACACATATACCGTGGATTGTGCGTGTGTCGGTGCGCTACGGTTTCTTAACGTTCTTCACGGCTGATT